TCACTAACTACAGCGATCGAAAACTAATTTTGAAAGAGAATCAATGTATCGGTAGAGCGGAAGTAGCAGAATTAGTTGAACCAAGTTCAGATCAGAAAACTGAAAATTCAAGTCAAAAGGAAATACTGATAATAAATGAAATTAAGAAGTTTAGGAGACCGATTACTTTAGAAGAAATTAAAGTTAATAATAATGCTACGCCAGAAAGAAAACAGGAAGTTTTAGATTTGATAAATGAGTATCGAGATTGTTTTGCATTAAATATGGAGGAATTAGGGTGTACAAACTTAACAAAAATGGATATTAAAGAAATTGAAGTGAGTAAGCCTATTTGCATGAAGTCGTATAAAACCAATGCCGAAGAGCGTGCTTCTATAAAGAAGATAATAAATGAATGGAAGAAATATGGAATTGTTACTGAAACAAGATCTCCGTATGCTAGTCCAGTTTTACTCGTAAAGAAAAAAACAGATGAATTACGATTAGTGATAGATTATAGAAAGTTGAATTCGCAAACTGTTAAAGATAAATTTCTACTCTCTAGTATAGATGATCTTCTTGAATGTCTTAGTGAGTGTAAAGTTTTCACTACACTGGACTTAGCTCATGGATATTTGCAGATTCCTTTACTGAAGAAGCGAAACTGAAAACAGCTTTCATCACTCCAGATGATACTGGTCAATTTGAACGTATGATCTTTGGGTTAGCTAATGCACCTGCAGAATTTCAGAGACTTATGAATCAAGTTTTAGGTCCATTGCTTAATAAAGACGTTTTGTGCTATTTGGACGACATATTAATTCCGGCTAAATCTTGGGAAGAATTGATGGAAAAACTTAGGAAATTGTTTGATAGATTGAGAGAAGCAATGCTGACATTGAAACCGACAAAATGCGAATTTGGAAAAGATGAAGTTGAGTATTTGGGATTTCTAATAAAATCAAATGGTATGCAACCTGGACCAAGAAAAGTACGAGCCAAATTAAACTTTCCTAAACCAACCAATGAACATGAAGTTAAACAATTTTTAGGTCTTACAAGTTTCTTTAGAAGGTTTGTACCGAAATATGCAGAGAAAGCTGAGTCGCTAACGAGACTGACGAGGAAGGATGAAACATTTCGTTGGAACGAAGATCAGCAAGAAGCATTCAGTATTTTAAAAGATCATTTAACTAATGAACCAATACTAGCGTTATATAATCCAGAAGCAGAAACTGAAGTGCACACAGACGCGAGCAACAAAGGGCTGGCAGGAATGCTGTTGCAAAAAGGTTAAGATAGAAAGTGGCATTAGTATTGTGTAAGTAAAGGAACAACAGAAAGAGAAAAGAATTATCATTGAAGCAAATTAGAATTAATGGCTATAGTTTGGACTTTGACACGACTTCGACAATTTTTAATTGGAATCCGATTTACGGTAATTACAGACTGCCAAACTTTAGTTTATTTAAACGCGAAGAAAACTTCAAATCCTCAGATAGAAAGGTGGAGTAATCTGATCCAGGAATACAATCTTGAAATAAATCACAGACAAGGTAAAAAAATGAGTAACATAGATGCATTGAGCCGATCGCCAGTTGATCAGCCAGAAGAAACTTTAGACTCTATAATTGAAAACAACTTGGAAGTTTGTTTAACGCTAACGATAGATGAACAAATTCTTATGATTCAGCATTCAGATCCAGAATTATGCAAATTAATAGACATTTTAAAGAAAAAGATAAATGATAGAACGAATGCAGAGAAATATGTAACTGAAAATTACGTCGTGAAGAATAATCGATTGTTTCGTAAAGTGAAAGATCAGGAAAAGGAGAAATTGTTATATGTCATACCTAAGTCGATGAGAAAAGGTATTGTAGTAAAATTTCACGATCTTTTGGACATTTTTCAGCAGACAGAACTGTTGCCAAAATCAAGGAATCATACTGGTTTAAAGGAATGAAACGATATGTTATGCGTCACATTTCGATGTGTTTGAATGCCTAGTAAATAAAATGCCTAGTGGTAAGAAACAAGGAGTACTGCATCCAATTAGACCTGGTAGAAGACCTTTTGCAATTATACATATAGATCATTTAGGACCATTCGTAAAAAGTTCAAGAGGAAATACAGAATTATTTGTAATAATTGATAATTTTACAAGATTTACACGCTTATATCCTATGAAAAGTACTGCAACCAAGTATGTGTTAGTCGCATTGAAGAGTTTTGTAGATGATTTTGGGTTATCAGAAAAAATTATCAGCGATAGAGGAACATGTTTCACAGTGAAGGAATTTCGAGAGTACTGTCAAAATAATGGAATCAGTCATAAACTCAATTCAACTCAACATCCAAGTGGTAATGGAATGGTGGAAAGAGCAAATCGAACAATTTTGGCTACGATTAAAACGAGTATGGAAAATCCGAATCAGAGAGACTGGGACAAAACGATTAAGGAATGGGAAAGAAATCTAAACAATATGATATATAAGACTACAAATAAAACTACTTTCGAAATGCCTTCACGGTTATTCACCAAAATTTAACGACGGATTGATGAGGATTACAGATGAAGACGCAAATGAATGGGAGAATCCAGTAATCTTACAGAATGAAACTAGAAAGAGAATTTAAGCTATGCAGATGAAAATGAAGGCAAATTGTGACAAGAAAAAAAGCAATTCTTTAACATCCGAATGAGGAGAAATAGTAGTTATGAGAAGAGTACCTAAATCAATTGGAGAATCAACCAAAACACAACAAAAGTATCGAGGACCTTTGGTAGTTACAGAAGTTTTACCAAGTGATACCTATAGAGTGACTCAATTAGAAGAGAAGGTGAAAGGACATTTCTTTAGTACGACAGCTCATGCCAGCCAATTAAAGTCATGGCAGTGTCAAGCTGAATCAGAAGACGACGACGATGATGGTGATGACATTAGTGTGACTGGGGATAACGATAACAACATGCCGCATATTACTAAAACTAGGACACGGAAAAAGAATAGAAAACGACGGTGAATCTATATGACAGTTAAAAGACTTTCGAACTATAAACATTAATATTACAGATTTAATTTTTTAAGTATAAGTTCTTAATGTTCCGAGGTCGTAACTAAGTCAGGATGCCCGAATGTAAACGCAACATATTAATTTTATTTAAAATGTATTTTCCCGATTGGCAACAACAGTTTTTTTTAGAAAGGTAATAATTTGAACTGTAACGTTTTTGAGCAGTAATGTGGACGGTAATGTTTCTGAATAAAGCAAGTATCTAACAATTAATGTTTGAACGGTAATGTTTGATGGAAATGTGTCTTTAATAAAGGAACTAATTAATTGCTAACATGTGTGTATACTTATCCATATATATATTGCACATGCATCCATACATACATTTCTGAATCTGGTCCCGGTAACAGAAGATTACCTGTTAACCCCTTCGCTCCGACGGTCACGTCTACGTGCCAGCAACGAACACACTCACCTACCGGACGACACGCAGGCGTGCCAGAGCATTTTCCCGTTTACTACCATCTGTCACGTATTTGTGCCAGTACCCTGGAACGTTTTAGAAACTATAATTTCTGCCACAAGATGGCACTGTATGTCCATATGGTTTCAGATACATGTACATTAGACCTTCTACTCGAAATGAAAGAAGAATGACTCACATATACGTGTTTTTGATTATATAAACAAACTGGGAACTAAATGTTTCTGAATGGCGTGATTTATGACGTCTCTTTAAATCGCACTTCATTCACACGTGGTAGTTGTTCATTGTAAGTAGAAGTTTTATATGCGCTAAGGCATTGAGTATTTCGGTTTGCAGTTCAGTTTTTAGAAAATAATTAGATCTTGTTAGACGTGAATTCTTTCTGTTTTTACCGTTGCAATGTCGAAGCGTCGAAAATGTTTAACAGAGCATGAAATAGCAGAAATGATGCAAAATATTTCAGATTGATTCTGAAATTCTGATATTCTGAAAGATTAACTGAAAGACATTTTCCAAAACTTGTTTCAAATGAAGGGACTGATAAGAAAATGCCGAGACGACGATGCTTCGTTTGTTCCATGGTCATTCCCAGAAAAAATTTTTTAAAATCTCCAAAACGGCAAATGAGTTTATTACGAGTGCAAGGAATGTAACATAGGACTGTGTGTAGATCCCTGTTTTCAAATTTTTCATACGAAAAGAGAATTTTAAGTAATATATTTTAGTTTTCAGATGTATAATGTTAAAAGTCATAAAATGGTGAGTAATTAAAAAAAATAAAATGTGTAAAATATGCATTTAAACAAGAAATAAGGTAATTAAAGTATATATATAAAAATATCTATAAAGCATAAGCTGTTTAAATACTCTATAGAGCATTATTAAACAATGCGTTGATACTTCGGAAATTTCATGGATTTAGGCTTAGTAGCAAAAAAGCCCCCGGCTCTGGAGAGACGCTCGCGTAAGATACTGCCGGCCTACGCGACAAGCGCGCGTTTTCGCTATCCGGCTCGAAGGGGTTAAAATCAAGATACATTAAAATTGTATCTTAAAACAATTTCCAATTAGATGTTCCTGAATGGCAACAGACACCTCTAAAAGGTTAATTAACATGCATCACTTTTATGTTTAAATTATTCTCTTCTCTAAAAAATAATTTTGTGGTCTACAGATTAAGGCCACACATTCAGATTATGGGCTCGAAAGTCCCAAATAGAATGAATAATACCTTTCAGTATTTGCATAAAATATGAACATGACACAGGTCACTGCTGATAAAAATATTATAAGCTGAACAATGCTTGTAATGTCTGCAAATTAAAATAACCTTAAGCTAGTACAGGCAATACATTATTGAACTGACACTGTGAAGTATCCACACAAAACAAAAACAAACCAAAAAACACTATGAAGCAAAACAAATATGAAAGCTGTTTTATTCTAGCTAATACCTTCATTTTTAATGATCATAATAAATAAATTTTAAGGAAAAGCAGTAAAATTTTAACCTTACTGTAATAACTCTATATCCTTTTGCTGATAAAGCCATAAGTTGATGAAAAAACACATCTGCAGTTCCACTCACAGGAGGTAAACAAATCAAAGGACAGGTTACATTGCGAGGTCCAGCATCATATAATGTCCATATTTTGCTAGAATCTTCATCAACAATTATCTAGATATATATATATATTAAAGATATATATTACATACATATTGATTGATTATGAAATACAAGACCCATTTATAAAAACTTGCCTTTTTTTGGGGAATGCTACTTCTGAAGCTGATGTATTCAGCTGATGATGAAATTGCAGATGATTTTGTCTCAAGCAATTGCATTCTAAAAACAAAGAAAATTTAATTTGTATCTATAATTAATTAAATGATATTTTAAACTTGATCCTTGACTGTTTTCATAATACCAGAATTACCAACCAAATAGAATGATGAATTTTGACAATATTCACATTCACTTTTACTAATAAAAATCCTCTCTAAAATAGCCCCCCAAAAAAGTTTTATTAACAGCCTACATTTTCAAATTTTCCAAGATTGGGAGGGTTTTCAAAGGAGGAGAAATAAGATTGGTAATATTCGGTTTTGAGGGCCGTAAAAAATCGCCAAACTATTGTTGATGCCAGTGCTGCCAAAAATAATTGCGGCAATCCTAACGCAAGAAAGGCAGTACAGTCAAAAGTCTTTAATCCGGACGTCCATAATCTGGAATTAACTATAATCTAGACCTCAAAGCTACAAACATTCTGCACATGCGTAAACACATAATGCGTTTACACATGCGCATAATACGTTTATGCATGTGCATTTAATGTATAACAGACGGTATAAGCTAAGCTAAAATTATCGAATTATCTATTTCAGTTAATGTTGCAGATTGCACTGTTCCTTAATCTTCTAATTGGATCCGGCTTATTATTTTTTGCAGACTCTTAGAGCAATTTTATAAAAGTAAGCTTGAACTTTTGATTATGTCAAAAAGAGCATCCAATTCTGGAGCTGCCGAAGGATCTACAAAGCAAAAGCATGTTTCGAGGTCCTTCAAACAAAAAGTGAAATTGCTGCAAAAAATGGATAAAGGCATATAATTTGTTTCTCTAACCATTCCGAAATCTGTTTATCAATTTCACACTGCTCTGCCGGGGGGGGGGGAAGAATTTCGGTGCACGCAATGAACTGGAAGTTGATCTGTCAGCACTATCCTTATCTTCACAGCAGACGTTTTTATTTTATTCGGCTTATGATTCCTTACTAAATGCAATATTTCATATCGATGTACTCCGTCTTTGATATGATTTAAATCCAATTCCTCGTCATTATAAGTATCATGAATACACATCAAATAGTTTTTTGGTTGCAATTTTCTAATTTCAACTTTGTGTAATGTATGCTTTACGCATGCACGCATTGAAAGAAATGTTTAATAAAGTAACAAATAAATATTAGCTCTTTTTGTGTAACTTTTGATACCCTTTAGATCATAATTGCTCTTTATTTCATAAATTACGGTTTCATATTTTTAATTTTATAATTTCTGCATGCCATCTTACCAGATTTAAATTGGTGATCTATAATCCGGAATCGCCGAAGTCCCGATGAGTCCAGATTAAAGACTTTTGACTGTATAATAGTAAATAATTATCTAAGATTGATGTTGTAATTTAGATGAAAGGTTAATGTTATATAATACTTTTTTATTATTATAATTTATATAAAAAAGGCTAAACATGACTGAATGGAAGTATAAGAGTAAATAACTATTTCAGATCATTATTATAATTTATATAAAAATTGCTAAACATAACTGCATGGATGCCTGCATCGCTCTTTTGCTACCGAGTTATCGCTAAAGCATAGTTTAATCTCGTTGGTTGTTCAAATGTAATTTTCTATAATGAATTATGCTTTTTCTTTGAAAAAATTCTCAGTAAAGTGCAGAATCGCCCACTTATTTGTTTGCCACTTTTTACAAGAGTGAAAACAATTGGATTTTTGTCAATTTTCTTTTACTTTTTAAGTGAAAATAGCTCGATGTGTACATAGATAAAGTCAAGGGTGTGCACAGTGCCATTTTTGTGCAATTCTAGGATTTTTTTTTTTTTTTAAGTGAAAATAGGTCGATGTGTGCATGGATACAGAGTGTATGTGCAATTCTTAAAAATGCGTCAAGCAGTGGGGGTTCTGCACTTTACCCAAAATTCTACTGCAGACTTTTCGTCATTTCGTCCCAAATTGTTAAATCCATAGGATATTAAAAAAGGATTTTAAATCAAAAAAAGAATTTAAATATTAAACTAGTATTTCAATGGCGTCATAAGAAATACAGAACTATATAAACTTACACAATATGAAATCAGCGCGTACGCTGGATTTGGTGCGCTGTTAAATGGGCCCGTTTGCTAGATTTGGCGCTTTTGCGCATACATTTTCGCTGCAATTTTTTTACGGTTGTCAAAACGGAATTGTATCATAAGATTTTATCTAAAATTCTACTAGTAACTACTGATGATGCTTGGAGTACAACTAGTGAGAAAACTCTTTTTATCAGCGTATTTACAGCATACATTGGGCTATGTAGTTGGGGTTTCTTTGCTTCCTACATCAGCAGTTTTATGTACAATGAATATCCTCAAATCGCTTGATATCATAAACCTTGTGTTTCAGCCCACGTATTGTATCTTATATTGCACACATATTTCAACCCATGTTCTATATAAATATAACAGTAACTACTCTTATAAGTTAATAAATTTTATATCTCCATGCTCTTTAGACACAAAATAATTGATAGCTTTGTTAAACAAAAAATATATAGGTAAATCCAATGTATAATAGTTGGCTTATGCACAATAATGCTAAATTATTAAATAACAAAATAAGGTTTTAAAAGAATTGGAAGGTTTCTATTTTAAAAGTTGCAGAAATGGGCTCTTTTAAAATTAAATATAGTTTATCAGCAGAGATAGCCCCAGAGAATGATATATTTTATGGACAGATTAAAAAGATTAAATATCTTGGCTAGACTGGAGATTATGCCAAGTGAAGCGAAACATGGCTTAAATACGAGTCAATGCTTTATGATCATTTATTGCTTCATTTACTGCTTATTACAAATTCTCAAATTTCGTGATAAAATGCTTTACTCCATTTTGCTACTGTCTTAAAAATGGTACAGTACAAAGACCGAAATCCGGACATCCATTATCCGGACCTCAAAGCCACAAACTTTATGCATGCGCACATTGAAAAAAATTTTTAATAAAGTAAACAAATAAATATTAAGCTTTCTTTTTTTTTTCTGGTAAATTTTGATACTCTTTAGATCATATTTGCTCGTTTTTTCATAAATTATGATTTCATATTTTGAATTTTATAATTTCTGCATGCCATCTTACCAGATTTAAATTGATGATCTATAATCCGGAAAAAAAAACTCTAATCTGGAATTGCGAAGTCCAGATTACAGACTTTGTACTGTATATGATATTATGAAAACTTTTAATATTGTTGATCATATAAAATAAATACTTACAAATACTTTTGGGTAAAGTGCAGAATCACCCACTTATTTGTTTGGCGCTTTTTACAAGAGTCAAAAGAATTGGATTTTTGTAAATTTTCTTTGTCTTTTTAAGTGAAAATATATTGATGTGTACATGGATAAAGTCAAGGGAGTGTGCAATGGCATTCTGGGATTTTTTTTAATGAAAATAGGTCAATGTGTACATGGATACCGAGTATGTGCAATTCTTAAAAATGCACCAAGCAGTGGGTGATTCTGCACTTTCCCCTCTTTCGTTGTTTTTCTTGAAGTCCTGTTTTAGATATTTTTGCATTTTTACAGGTTGTTTAGATATTTTTGCATATTTACATGATCTACTTTTTGTATGTTTACAGAATTAATTCATACTCGCAACTATCTAATATGGCGATATGATGAGTTAGCGATTTTCTAAAACGTGCAAACACAAACGATTTGGCGACTTGGTAATTTTTTTAATACGCACCAGACTGGATCGTAATATCCAGTTTTACCAATATCTCATATTTTGATACATTGCAATAGACCTGAAAGAAACGTGAAGTGGGAAAATTATGTTTAGAGAATATTACCCCTTTTGGATTCAACCTATGAACTTTCTTCAAGATTCTCACAATTTAGGCAATTTTCAGAAACATCAAAATTTATTTTATTTTCAGCAGCATCCATAGCTTAACTTGCACTTCTTAGTTTTTGGGATAAATCATAATTCTAGCCAGAGCACACCGGAGCCCTTGTAGTATTATGTGGCCCCAACTTGTCAGTAGTTGTGGTAGTGACTGTAATGAACTGTTAAGTTACACAAACACGTAAGAAGGGTTTTAAAGCCCTTTTTTATTCCACTTTAGAAATAACAGCTGCGTTCACTTGATGCTCACAAACTACGCCGACCCGGCGGTTTAACAAAACAGAAATGTGAAACTAAAAAATTAATGACAGGATGAATAAATAACTAGATCCCTACCTACGAGGCTCTGAAATCGTAACTAACCTAACCACGTTCTAAAATGCAGCTGAGATTCAGCGAGCTTACTGATTAAGCAGTTGAAGGATTCAACGAACTGCCGAGATAGGCACACAGGCCGAAACGTGCAGTTCTTAAATTTCTACCTAGCAACCTTCACGTTAGCGATTCAAGAAGCACACTTACAAACTCGTTTCCCTTCTATTTAAACTCAACTTACTTCTGCTAAAATTTGAACATACTGCGCGTTCTACTACAATTTACATACTCTGGCATTGGCAATTCTAGGGAAAAGTAAAGGCTTGACAGGAAAGATAGCTTAAAATAAATGTTAGTTAAAATAAATATAAACCCTACACTCTAAATCCTCAGACGCTTCATTTATGTAACTGAACAACAATTTCAGTAGAAATTTGATCTCGAAAATTTTATTTTTGCGATAAAATTATATTACAAATCGCTTCTTAAATTTTAATAAATTCCTTTACATTTTATTTATTTAATTACTTTAATCTTTCATATTATTTAACTCTTTTAATAATAACAATTAATTAATTTTATCGGTGTACTAGGTATTCGGTTTTGAGGGCCATAAAAAATCGGCAAACTAGTGTTGATGCCAGTGCTGCCAAAAATAATTGCGGCAACCCTAACGCAAGAGAGGAAGTATAATAGTAAATAACTGTCTAAGATGAATGGTTTAATTTAGATGAAATGTTATATTCGTATAATACAATTTTATTATTATAATTTATATAAAAAAGGCTAAACATGACTGAATGAAAGCATAAATAACTATTTCAGATCATTTTTATAATTTATATAAAAATTGCTAAACATAACTGAATGGATGCCTGCATCACTATTTCGCTACCGAGTTATCGCTAAAGTATGATTTCAACTCGCTGGTTGTTCAAACATAATTTTCTATAACGAATGATGCTTTTTCTTTAAAAAAATTCTCAGTAAAGTGCAGAATCACCCACTTATTTGTTTGCCACTTTTTACAAGGGTCAAAACAATTGGATTTTTGTCAATTTTCTTTTACTTTTTAAGTGAAAATAGGTCGATGTGTACATAGATAAAGTCAAGGGTGTGTGCAGTGCCATTTTCATGCAATTCTGGGATTTTTTATTAAGTGAAAATAGGTTGATGTATACATGGATACCAAGTATGTGCAATTCTTAAAAAATGTGTCAAGTAGTGGGTGATTCTGCACTTTACTCAAAATTCTATTGCAAACTTTTCGTCACAGGCAATTCCCAAATTGTTAAATCCATGGGATATCAAAAAAGGATTTAAAAATAAAACTAGTATTTCAATGGAATCTTAAAGAATATAGAACTACATAAACTTACGCTATCTGAAATCAGTGCATATGCTAGATTTGGCGCTCTGTTAAATGGCCACGTTTGCTAGATTTGGCACATTTGCGCATACATTTTCGCTGCAATTTTTTTACGGTCCGGAATAGTACCATTTTATTTAATTAAATAATAATAATTTATAAGGTATTTCTCCCACATTCTTGGCGAGCTTTCATGGTGTAGTGGTCAGCACACTCAGTGTGTATTTGAGAGGTCCACGGTTCGATTCCCGGCGAAAGTGTTGCTAATTTTTCATCTTGCCTGCTTCTAAAAATACCTAATGTCTCTATAAATTAGTTAAATAATTAATTTTGTAATAATCAATTATTTAATTTTTAAATTATTAATGATTTTAACAGACATTTTATTTATTTCTTTACTTTTGTTCCTCTTTGCTGACGGTCTTCCATAGGGCTCCGGCATTTCTAATTTTAGAAATTATGCCCTAGCATCAGTACAAACTTTCTAAAAATTTCTGAGTACCTTAACCCTCTGACTGCTCAATTTGTAAACCGAAATTGCTTCAAAAAAAAAATTTTTTTTTTTTTATCTATATATTTTGGAGAATTGAAAAATGCATTTTTCCTTTCTAGAAAATATTTTTTATATAGATTTTTATCATGAGAAACTAATTTCAGATGTTATCACGGAGAAAAAATTTTTGGTTAATCTTTGGATTATGGTAACTTGGCAATTTTTTGGCAAAAGTTTGGCAACCAACCCTGCTACAGCAACCTGCTAGTTTTGGTTTTTTTTTTTTTTTTTTACTCAACATTTTTTCCAACAATCTGCTAGCCAAATTACGCTTATACTAGAACTTTTATGGAACAAAAATGCTTAATTATTATGAAGATTAGGTGCGAAATAGGGAGAAGTGCAGAATCGCCCACTGCTTGCTGCGTTTTTAAGAATTGCACATACACGGTATCATCCATGTACACGTCGACCTATTTTCACTTAAAAAAACATCCCAGAATTGCACAAAAATGGCATTGCGCACACTCTTGACTTTTATCGCCTTACCAAAATGTCGCCAAACTACCTGTTACCATATTCCAAAGATTAGCCAATTTTTTAAATAACTGTCAGTCAAATTATAGTTACTTTCTATTTATTGCATAATATAAAAAAATAAAATATATAACATTTAAGAAAATATAAAGCATTGAGGAAAAAATATCTTAGAAATGGAGTTTAGTATGATAGAGTTCAAACTCCACAGTCTTTGCAGCAGATTCAATAAATCGAATTAATAATCAATCTAATCAATAAATAAAATTAATAATTCAATAATTTAATTAAATAATCAAGATATCACTAAATGTTTTCTAGCAGCCATTTCTGTAAGAAAAAAGCAGGAAAAAGTGGAGTTTGAGCGGTAATACCACGTGCCTTCAAACGCTGCAATTTAGTGGACAATTAACGATATCTCTTGTCCAAAGCATAAACTAAACATCTAATACTGTATATAATTTATTTCAGTGGTTAAAGGGGAAAAAGGGATGCACTCCTCAATAAAGGAAGAAAAACACATGCTCGCGGAAATCGCGGGATGAGCAGATTTTGCAACATTTGAATTCCCCGTGAAAATCGCAGGATGAGCAGCCAGAGGGTTAATAATGGAAGAACGGGTAATGTAATCAACACATTTCTAATCTAGTTCTTTATGATTTGGTTTGGTTTATTCATGGTATTTATGGCAAAACAGTCAAGGGTTATCTGCCTAAGGGAAGGGATGCTTTTGAGGAGGACTTTCTAACAGAAACTGGATCCTATATATTGGGGAAAACTATGAAAACACCCATGTAGCCAGCCTGTTTGCTGGGATTCAAACCATGGAGTAAACTACCAGTGTTCGGTGACTTTACTGCTTGGCTACTAGTGGGCTGTACTTCTTTACGGAGACAAATATTTGTTAGCATAAGAATTGGCAATAATTGAAAATGATAAATTATTGAACACATTTTTTAAAAGAAACTGAATACAAAAGAGTGAAAATGTTAAATGTTATTGGTACTTTTCCGTTTTGCCGGCGCAAGCGATAAAGTCGCCAATAATGGTACAACCGATGCCAAACGGAATATTCTCGCTGGTAACCTTTTACGCCTCATTTTCAAAACAAGTCGCAGCTTTTTCTTATCAGATTGATTGTTTCTTTCAATACTGGCATATAATTAGATAGAATTTTTATCAGATAGTTCAGTTTTATGTCTAAAGCCATTTTCGGTAATTAGGTCAATTAGGATGCAATCACACAGCGCTTACCCGAAGCCGAAAATATAGAAAAGAAAAAGTCAAGGGTTAAATTCATCAATTCTAATGAGAATGCATTAGTGAAGTAAAGCACTGCAGTTTTACATAATTTCTGAGTAAGCTATTCGTACGCATTGAAATATTTCTTGCATTTAAACTTGTGTTCCAAATTAAGATTTAACTTGAAATTAATGTAGATAATTACGGAGAGCATTAGATTTTTGTAGAGTAGTTTACGTGAGATGAGATCGCTTGGAGTCACGTGATATGAACCGGCGAATTAGGATGTTGAACCATGAAAGCATAGTAAATTCTTAAATTAATGTCTTTTTACAAATTTATTGTCTTTATTTATTGGCTTTTTATAAAGTTTTAAGCGATATTAAAATGTTTATGCCTTCAAAAAAAAAAAAAAGAATTCTTAGAACTAAAATTTTTTATGTGTATACTGTATGTTGTCGCCAATAAAGTCTGCTTGGCGAGATTTGCGCCGGCGAAACGGAAAAGTACCATGTTATTTTTGAAATTTTTTACAGTTTAAAAATATGATGGTTAATATATAGTAAAAAGTTCACAATGCCTTCTGGGTAAAATCCTAGTATACGGTGCAGCCTTGGCGCAACTTTGAAAATTATCGCCAACACCAAAAATGATCCAAAAAACGTCTATATATATATATACTATACTATATACATAGTATATATACTAGATACATAATATATACTATGTTTAACTATATATTTTCTTTGAATGACCCGTTAACTACTCATCGCAATATCCGGTTTTTACTGCTCATCATAAAGTCGCCAAATCCTGTGTGCACCGGATACTAGAATTAAACCTGCCTTCTGTACATGAAATGTTAGCTTAAATGTTAACGTCTTCAGAATTAGCATAAGGCTAAAACCATTTGCAGGGCTCAGTAAACAACATGGCATATTCCCAGTCGGCCAGTTGCCCTGTTATTGTGCCAAGTTTAGCATGCTTCTTAACATAATGAAATATGAACCAGTAATCCACTAGAGTAATAAAAAATAGTTGCCATCAAGCATTTGCTGCGAAAAATCGAATAAATAAATAATCCATATTGATTTTCATACAGCTTACTTCTTGACTTCTTCACCATGAAATATCATGCTAATTTTCTAACTTATTTGCGGACAGTTCTGCAAGAGTTAAGCACATTTACTAATTTCTCTTCATAAAAACTCCTCCTGTGAGCAATTTGTTACACATTATCTTTTAATTTTTCAGATGAATGCATAAAAAGGTTAGTTATTATTGCAATACACAATTTAAAGAAATTGATAGCACTGATAACTTTTCAAGCAACTTCAAACTGACAATATGGAAATATTCAGGTCTTTTAACTAGAATAATTATTCTGTAGACAAAAATTCACCACAAAACTACTGGAGATTCTTTCACTTTCTAATTTTATTACCCATGCAATATTTTCAGAAATGATTACCTATTTTATTTTTCAAAAGAAATTCAACATTTTACATTTAAACTGCCAGTAAAATTTAATCTCGTTTAAATGCTCATAGCTGATCTTGGAATTTCAATACTATTCTTTTCCCGTACAGTTACTCTTAAAAATTTATAATATAGTATAAAATATCCTATAGTATATAAAGGAGGAACTATCTTACTTATCAAATTTATTCATAAATAAAAAGATTAAAACCCATTTTTAAGCCGGCCATATGTTATTAATATGAACTAATAAAGACAGACATTTACAATTATTAAACAGAATATAACAAAATAACAGCAAACGCTTAGCTAAAATATGTTTTATTGAAATCTATCTATAGCATGCATTTAAACCATTGTTTTTATATTCTTGTGACACATCATATTTAAAATCCAGTTAAAGGAATCATAAATTACTCTTGTTAAGTAGAATAATTCTACTTATTTGAAACTATATAAAATCTTTTAGTAAAAAAAGAAATAATTTAACGAATAACATATGATGTAATCAAAATTATATACTGAATTTCATTCGATTCCTGATCTACTGCCGAAAACAAAAATAACAAAAATTAAACTTTACTCTTTATTGTTTGGGACAGAGGTTCTGAATGTGTCACTGTAAGAAACAATGACCAAAATTACAAACGGTTATCTAATACTAACCTTACAAGTTTGACAGGATAAGGTACCAAACAAAACAACTTGACATTACACTCGAACTCATGCAACTTGTCACGAGACCTAGCTCCCATAAATAAAGAAAAAAACTTTCGGTTCCAGTTTACAATTTGTCACCATGCAACCACTCAGAGAGTAAACATTTTTATAAATAGAAAACTAACTGCCATGAATTTGTATTTTTAAATGAATGATTTATAGATTAAGATCAATACCAAAATTAACATATAGAAAATCAGAAAAAAAAAAATTTGTATATAAAGAACAATTTGTGTCTAGGCATCCGATTTTGACAGAACAATACACCAACTGCTATCAAGCAGATTTCAAGAAACTGTTTCTGCGCGTGTAATCAGCTTTTCTAGGATCATGTTATGTCGGGCGTTTACGCACTCTAATTTGTTTTGGTTTGGGGTTTCTGCTGTGGTGGGTGGTGTTCTGCGAGTGTAATACCTATACTTGCTAGTTATAAATCTCTCAAAACCAAATGCTTAAGCAATATCCAAAAATGTTATTTATAGCTCCTTATATTTTATAAAAAGTAAAAAATGTTTTGCGAGTGAAATTTAGCATCATATTTTATATGAATATTATGAGTGTTTTATGAAGTTATATTTTTCTTTTTAGACTCTTCTTATATGCATAGGTATATGCATGTATTTGTGCTAAGTTTCTCGGTTTTGCATTAACTTATGGCTATGGCAAAAAAGTTGGAATCACGAACATCACTCACGCAGTTTGCGCCACTAAGCCCCGAATCCAAATCTCAAACGTTTTCTATCCGTAATATATTTTGGAAAAGTAAAGGTAAGCTTTAATATGTGCATTATATATATATACACATATTAACATTTGGCATTATCTTTTACTGTATCTATTTTATTGATATTACAGAGAAATCTGCATCTACAATCAAAGCTCCCGAGCAATCTGAAGATAAAACGTCTGATGTGTCAAATTCCTCTCAGAGTTTGTATTCTGATGAATCTACGTTCTCATCAGGAAAAGATTCTGATATTGCTAATATAGAAAATAATCGTGGCACGTCTGGAATTTTAGGCCGAATTATGGATAATATTTTGGATAATAAAAAGAAGGTATGTATAGCAAACAGATACTTTATTTTTATCATTATCAGGATTTTTATCATAACCAGGAGTTATTTTTATCATTATCAGGATTATCTGCTTAGATTGTCGCAACGTGTCGTGGTGAAAGGGCAGAATCGCCCACAGCTTGGCGCGTTTTTAAGAATTGCACATCCTCAGTATCCATGTACACATCGACCTCTTTTCACTTACGAAAACATCCCAGAATTGCAAAAAAATGGCATTGACTTTATCCATGTACACATCGACCTATTTTCATTTAAAAAGTGAGAGAAAATTGACAAAAATCCAATTCTTCTTGCTCTTGTAAAAAGCAGCAAACAAATAAGTGGGCGATTCTGCACTTTAGCCCATATTGTCAGGTCATCAAATGTCAAGAACATAATTAGGTTTATAAAATAGAAAAAATTAGGTTAAATTTGTTGATACTTGCTCTTCTGAATTCTGAAGAATGGAGCAGATTGCAGTAGCAGCTCTTTGTGAAGACCTGAAAACAGGGATGTTAAAATTACAAAATATGGCACATTTTTGGAAAAAAAATTATTTTAAAACTGTGTTTTATGAATTCGAATCTTAGACAGGTTTAGGAAGAAGGAAAGAGCAGTTTTAAAATGAAAATGTGTTCCATTGCATGTAATTAGGAAAGTTTTAACTTCTTTCATTGCATTTAGATGATATGTCAAATAAAAGAAAGGATCATTTATATGAAAAAGCCTAGGAATTTTGTTACTTATTATCACAACTACCTCTGTACGAGTTGCCATATTTTTAGAATGTACCAAAGTATGGCAGCCACATGCAACTTATCACTAACTATCCATATTTGTCATGCAGTGCATCTCTCGAGCAATATCTCCATTTTTTGTGTGCTGTTCTTGTTATATTTCAAATTCTAACATTTTTTTAAACCGGATCGTGATGATTTTGCCTTAAACTCAACTTTTACATATGGGCTTGCAGAATTTGCCAGCAATGGAAGAAACTGAAGGAATGCAGTAACTTATCTCTACAGGGAAGAACTGCTAAATTTAGGCCAATATGCAAATTTAACATTATGTTGCTATTGCTTATCTCTTTAATAATGTGCATAAATATTTCTAGCAGATACACAATGTGTACAGCACTGTGCTTTTTATGGGAAAAAAAAAAAGGTGAATCTTTAAATTATGGTAACTTGGCAATTTTTTGGCGAAAGTTTGGCGAACAACTCTGCTACAGCAATCTGCTAGTTTTGTTTTGGACACCATTTTGTTTTCACGAAGTAAAGGCATGTTTTTTTTTTTTTTTTTTTTTTTTTTTTTTTTTTTTTTTTTTTTTTTTTTTTTTTTTTTTGTTTTTTTTTTTTTTTTTTTTTTTTTTTTTTTTTTTTTTTTTTTTTTTTTTTTTTTTTTTTTTTTTTTTTTTTTTTTTTTTTTTTTTCAACATTTTTTCCAACAATCTGCTGGCCGAATTACGCTTATACCAGAACTTTTATGGAACAAAAATGCTTAATCATGACGAAGATTAGGTACGAAATTGGGACAAAGTGCAGAATAAGAATTAATTAATTTTTAAGAATTGCACATACACGGTATCCATGTACACGTCGACCTATTTTCACTTAAAAAAACATCCCAGAATTGCACGAAAATGGCATTGCACACACTCTTGACTCTTGACTTTATGTACACATCGACCTGTTTTCACTTGAAAAGTCAAAGAAAATTGACAAAAACCAATTCTACTCTTGTAAAAGCCAAAAAAAAGTGACAATTCTGCACTTTAGCACGAAATTCTTTCTAAGTGTTATTAGCTAAAATCACGATCGGAATTTTCCGAAAAATGTCAATTAAGTCTCATGATCTCATTCTCTGAGACAAAATAATTGTGATTCAAACTGTGTTACTTCTCAGATTATTGCTAAAGTCCTAGCTAGTAAACTTAATCGCCTTACCAAAATGTTACCATATTCTAAGGATTAGCCAAAAAAAATTATTTCTGTTTTGAAGTCATGTGTAATTTCTGTATTATTGCTTTAAATTTTATTGAATGTAAAAATTTGTCTATAAATTTATCTTATACTTTGTTACATCTAAAGACTGTTGAGAACTACTCTTATATATGCCCTCAAGTCTCCAAACATTTTTGGCGAGAAACTCCGCTGTGCCATATTAGTATCTAAATTTTTTGTCTACATTCAAACTTTAAGACTAAAATGTCTCAAAAAGCACAGTTTTCGCACATGCAAAAATCATGTTTTGAACACACAATTTAAGCTAAAAATCCAAAACAAAAACAAAAAATTTTAGATAGCAAAAACGTAAGGTTAATCTTTGGATTATGGTAACTTGGAGATAATTTGGCAACCAACCCTGCTACAGCAACCTCCTACTTTTTTTTTGGTACCATTTTGTCTTCACAAAGTAAAGACAGGTTTCTTTTTTTTTATTTACTCAATATTTTTTCCAACAATCTGCTAGTGAATTATGCTTATGAGAATTTTATGGAACAAAAGTGCTTAATCATGACGAATATTAAGTGGCAAAATTGGAAGAAAGTGCAGAATCACAACTCCTTGCCGTTTTTAAGAATGGCATACACAGTGACATGTACATCGACCTATTTTCACTTAAAAAAAAATCCCAGAATTGCACAAAATGGCATTGCGCACACTCTTGACTTTATCCATGTACACTTCTTTTTTCTCATAAATTAGAAAAATTTGCAGGAAAATTTTGTGAATCGGTAAAAGGACATATTTAAATTAAAATACTGATCGCGAAATGTGAAAATTTATGAAAATATCTGAATACATGATCATTTGCACGTATAAAAATAAATAAAATATCCAAAAACTTTTCCCTCTAAAATAGTATTATAAAAGTCACCTGCGAATTTATACGCAAACATTAAAAATGGTTGAATATAGTGTCAATATTTAAATTATTTCCATGCACGGTTACTTCTACTGAAACCTATTCCAAAATGCCACAAACAACTCACAAAAGCACAAAATAATCAAAATAAAAATAAAAATTACAAAAAAAAAAAAACACATCCTTAAATTAATAAAATTAGCTTTAACATCTAATTACGTTAAACTAATTCATACTAATAAATTTTCCAATAAACCAGTATAATTTATTTATTCGACATTTTAGAACAATGCAATAAAAAATCCTCAATGCTTAAAAACTAAACTTACCTAATCTTAATTAGAGTAAACAACAAAAATCAGCCGTTAATTTACAAAATTTTCACAGGACTAGTTTCGATGGTTTTTTTTACCGAACCATCATCTTCAGCTGCAAAACCGCAAATGAACAAGATAGGAAATATGTTTAGATAAGATAAGAAAGCCTGGGACAAGAATAAGCAAGTGGCGCCATCTGTTGGCGAAACCAGAACTAAAAACATAATTTCTCTAAAAGCCGAAGGCAAATTTGGATTGGAATTAGGATCGTTAACTAGAACAGAAAGATTTTTATGAATGTGAAATGCCTCTAGAAAATCCAGTTCTCCAATGGAAGATTTTTTTTTGAATAATTTTGGCAGCAGAAAAATTTGAAAGTGTGGATTTTCGGACCAACAATGTTGAGCAACCAGAAGACTTCTGTGTTTCCTTTTTTCTAACATATGCCTCATGTTCTTTGACGCGAAATTTTTAAGGCTCTCTTAGTTTGGCCAATGTAAATTAAAACCGCACTGGCAAGGAATCCTATAAATACCCCCCCAGGAATTCATATCCGGAATGGGGTCCTTGAGTGTAGAAGTTGGAATTTTATTGATGGGAGAGTAAACAACCCGAAAGTTAAATTTCTGCAAAATATGTGCAACTTTTATAGCTAATTGATGGAAAGAAGGGAATGACAACAGAATTTTTATAATCTCCTAAAATAAGAGTGTGGCTTTTAGTGTGTTGAGATGAGAATTTTTTAACTGCTTGATTAATAATGTTGGGTGAAAAGCCCCTGTCAATAGCTATTGCTTTTAAATAATTTAGTTCTTCATCAAGGGCTAGTTTGGAGGAGCAAACTTGAAGAGCACGGAAAACATACATAGGAATAAAATGAAGCTAACTTTTGTTTAGTCGGATGACATGATTTAAAGTGTGGTGGAAGGCAAACCGATGAAGGTTTACGGTAAAACTGTAGTACTGAAGTTGGATGTGTTACGTGTGACCAGAATGTCGAGAAACGGAAGAGAATTGCAAGTCTCAAGTTCAAAAATTACATTGTCAACTAGAGAGCCTTAAAATTTCGATCAAAGAACATAGGCATATGTTAGAAAAAAGGAACAAGAAGTTTCTGTTGCTCAAATTTGTTGTCGAAAAACACATTTTTTTTCTGTGCCAAAAATTAAAAAAAACATCTCCATTGGAGAACGGATTTCTAGAGGATTTCACATCATAAAAATCTTTCTGTTCTAGTTAACGATCCTAATTCCAATCAAATTGCCTCGGCTTTAGAGAAATTATGTTTTTAGTTCTGGTTTCGCCAACAGATGGCGCCACTTGCTTATATTGTCCAGGGCTTTTTTCTTATCTAACATTATTTCCTATCTTGTTCATTTGCGTTTTGCAGCTGAAGCTATGGTTCGTAAAACCATCGAAACTAGCCCTGTGAAAATTTTGGAAATTAACGCTGATTTTGTTTGTTGACTTCTGATTAGTATTATTAGGTATTATTATTTTTAATTACCTATTTCTTCGAATCTTCTTCATAAAAATAAAACGTTTTATGGATTCAAAATCATTGAATGATTTTTTCTGGGAAATTTTCCGCCCACTTCCTCTGCAAAAAAAAAGCAAAAATTATCCTTATCATAAAGCTTCGGAATAGCACTTTTTATAGACATCCCACTTTACCGTCAATCGTATTCGTAGTGCGCATTTTCAGGATCTTTAAAATGATACTTATGGTTAACAGCAAGATGTTGAAAACTTCATCCTCCAAACAGGATAGACTTCCAGCAATATAGATTATTATGTTCGTTTCCAAAATGTCCAT